AGGAAGTGGCAGATTTTTTCCGGTTGTGTATTTTCAAATTCTAGCGCACTCGAGCTGGCTTCTCCAAAATGACCTACCCCACCTTTAAATGTCACAAAGGTTTTATTGTTTATTAGAGCTGATAGCTTAGTTGTTAAGATAAGAAACAGCTAAGGATAAAGGGACATAGCTTTAACATAAAAGAAGAGTAAATCTTACCCGTGAGCCTAAGTCGAACTTGAATTTGCTGTTCTCCTCCTCGGTTTGCTCTCCCAGGGCCATCTGTTTGGTCTTCATAGCGCTGTACAGCACTGAGGTGATCTTCAGCATCTCTTTCACTGCGTAGCCATCTGCCTGATAGAGGCGTTTGGTGTTCAACTTGATGTGAGCCTTGGTTGCCTGCAACCATGTGAGACACTGGTTAAGACTGACTGACTGACAATCAGCAGACCTTCAATAGCTAAGAGTAATCTGTTCATTCTGTATAAGCTTAAGAAAATAGCTCACCATAAACTGGGCCACAGCCTTGATGAAGAATATTCTGTCTGACTCTGTATCTACATCAGTAGGAATATCCATCTGAGGCTCATATCTATGTGAAATGAAAAAGGAATACGGATAAAAAGAAACAAATCACAGTATTTCAATACAAAGTTTAGGCTGATCTAAGTGAAAAACAATATCCAATCTAAACCATGAACCAAACCAGTCCGATAGTCATTCCAGTGTTAGTTAATGTTTTAACTACATTGTACTGAGATACATATTACAAATGAAAACTTTAAATTTTATTAACAGGAAATAGTGTGCAATCATGTACAGAAACAAATAATATTGTTTTAAATAAAAAAGAAAATCTTGAAACATGTAGAAGGTGTGTATTTTGAGCATACCTCTTTACAAGCCATATTAGTATTTCAGCAACTAAAGTGAAATTTGGAGATCTGAAGTTTTCCATGGATATCAACCGGGGATAGCCCAGGGCCCTCATCATTTCTGTGAAATCTGTCAAATGTCATGAAACTCCAATTAATAGTCATAAAACACATTTTTTTAGCTAAGAGATAATAATTATTTCCTACAGTCACTTACTTCTTAAGTCTCTAAATGACATTTTGACCTGCCAGCTCCTTCACAGCAGATGATGCTCTCGTTTCTCCCCTGCAACGAAGAGCAGAGGATGTATTTACAGACAACCAAGGTGAGGACTGCACAATTTGTCTCAGAGTCGATCGAGAAAACGTACATTAAATTGTAAATCCTGACTTCCATCGAAATGTTAAGGTGGTGGAAGCTAAACAAAAAGCATTATGATTTAACAGAATCCTTAAGGAGTTAACGTTTACAGGCATATCAATGTTAGATAGTGTATATTTCATTAGCAACAAAGCAACTGTGTGAATGTATCCTCAGTTGAACTGCCCTATAGCAGGGTTGTAAATCCTCTATTAGGAATATTGTGGCTAGGTTGTAGCTACTTAGCAAAAAGCTAACGATCGGTGTCACCGCGGTGGTCAGCACGTCAGCCGGAAACAAGAGACACTTTTTCTGAACAGCCTGGTTGACAGGCTAACAAACTTAGTATAATGTTATGTTTTTTAGAATTAGAATAATGTTTGTTACCTGTCGCTGTAGCAAGCTGCTCATTCGCCCCAACTATAGATGGTCTCTATGGAAACCGACCAACGGAAGCTCAACGCGTTCAAAAAGACTAGCGAGGACCTTTTTATTATAGGACCTTTTTATTATAGGTCCTCAGGAACATTTCAATTCATACGATTATATGGGTATATTTATGGATGGTTTAACCGAGTTTAATTGACCATTTATTTTTAATTGAATTTCCCAAAAAATTGTATTGGGTGCACTGAGCTGTGTTGTTCTTGTGGGTATTCAGTAGTTGTAAAGTGTGTTGTAAGTAGTCTCTTCCAAAGTAGCTAAACATAACAAGTCAACATAACACTGATCATAAAATAAACGTAGATTAGCTTAATCGTAATTTTTTGAATGCATCATTTACAAATGTATTGTTTTTTGTTGACATTGTGGTATCGCTACATTTGAATGAGTAAAGGAATACTTTACTGCAACTTTCTCCCACTGGCTGAAGTGTGCATTAAGGATGGCCACCGGGGGGCGACACCTCCCAGTCTGCGCCACAGAAGCCTTTCATTTCAATGGGCTGCACTCCTGACGCAGAGCATGATGGAGCAAACTGGTGAGCCACCTCACAACAACAACACTGGAAATGAACCTCCTGCTGCCTGCGGCCTCCACAGTAAAGAGCTTAAAGAGCTGGAGAATGCCGCCCTGCAAACCACTTTAATATCACGGATGGAGACCGAATCTGGGGCGGACTCCGGGGGCTGGACGGAGCAGCAGTCCGGGGAGGGCGAGCAGTCGGACTGCTTGTCCTTGAACCACGGGGCGGCCCCTCCGCAGTTCGGCGCCGACACCGAGGCGGAGGAAGCGGAGTCGGGGGAAAATGACGATGAGGAGCGGGTCGAAGAAGAAAGGACCCTGACGGACCATTTAAACAAAAGGCTGCTCTCCTCGTTTCTAGAGAAGCTTAACGAAAGGGACCTGGCACTTCCCGGTGTTCAGCGTCTGGACTGTGCGGTTGCGGACGAGGACTCGAACAGGGCCGCAGAGGAGTGGTGAAGAACCGGGCAGAGGCAGGCAGGGAAACATGGAGATGTTTGAGGGGTTCAGGACCGATGTGCACTGAAGCACAATCCCACAACAAGAATGATAGACTTTCATTTTGGCTTACCAGTTTATTCTGAAAGGAGTGTCTGGAAATGTTATGCTTACTTTTGTATAGGGAGAATGGGTGAAATATAAAGAACATGCAATAAATTAACGTCATGCGATATGAAGTGCTTTTGTAATTATTGTCGACATGTATCTGGTAAGGAACGTGTCCATCTTTTCATCACCAAAAATATGTATTAATGCTTAGAAAGGAAATTAATAAAATAATGTAAATACACTGTCATAAGACTACATTACTCTCTACCTATTTTGACAGTAACCCCCCATTAAAAAAAAAGTTATTCTAATCATATATCCGCGGAATGTTAATTATGCAGTAAAAACCATGACACAATTCTCAAATAATTTACATATTTAGATTAAAGTCGATAAAACAATCTTGCTATAAAAACCCTCCTTGGATTTAGGAGATTTTTGAACTCACTATTATAATATATATTTTATATTTGTTGAAAGCATGAATGCTTGGATTAATGATGGCTTTACTGTCTGCAGTAAAGAAAAGAAAACAAGAACATGACAAACAGTTCAAGAGAAGGAAAGATTTAAACGACAGAAATCCGCATAAGACAGACAGGACATAGTGTCATACATACTGTATATATATATATCTCTATATCATCTTATACGTCTTAATACACTTCACTATCTTTGAGTACCGGTATGCATATTCTGTTCATTAGTAAAGATGTTCTGCTAGAAACTATGTACTGGCAGAATGGAGTTATCGCATCACGCATAAATTGCCAATTGGACCAGGATTAGCTCCAAACTATGTCAAAAATCAGGCTCACATGCCCTCCCCTTCAAATCAGATTTCCAACGAGCGCAGAAACTTTACACTTTCAATAAATGAATGTGAAAAAGGCCTTCTTGTGACAAATGCTGCACAGTGAAACTCAAACATCAACAGGACAGAAAACGCCCTTTTGAGGTGAAAGGGACTTTAAAGATGAGTAGAAAATAGCTGGTATCATTAGCAGAGAGAGTCATAAAGCCAATCTGGTTTATTACTATAGAGCTGAGCTGAAGGAAACCTTTTTTTATTTACAATTTCCTGTCACAAAAACATTTCACAACAGGAGAAAGTATTTCATGTAACCCCAGGACGTAGTAAAGTTGTTCACATCAGTCTGTGGTTCACATGCAACAGCGCCTTACAAAGTAAATCGGCTTATATCATAGACAATGATGGTACTAGTTTGCAGTGGACTGAGTAATGATCTATGAAGTAGTTGGCTTTTTTAAGATTTAATTTTAAATCTTTATATAGCTTTACAAAATGTTTTATTGTTGAAAACCATAACAGGCAGGAACTTTAATGTAGTGCAAGGTCAAGAGTCATACGTGTTAATTTAAAAATAAAACATGTCCCTTTACTCACCATTTAAGAGGAAACCTTTGCATTATGCATAACATGAAAAACAATTCATCTAAACCTGAAACAATAGTTGAAATAATTGTATTGCAGTCTTCACCAGGCCACCTGCCACATTAACACTCATTGAAGTGCAGGTGTGCATTGCTAAAGATATGGAACATGTCACAATGAAAGTCTTGATAAAAAACCTTTCAACATTTGAGTAATTCAAATAACCCCTGGGGGAGGTGCTTTTACACCTTTTACCTTTCTTGGCTCAATAATAAAGGATGTTGTTATTCAATCCCATTTTAGGGAACATCTTTTTTATAATAATATTTTTAATTAAAAAAGCTCCAAATGTTGGGCTGACATAAGAAGTCTGAAGAGTTTAGTGTTAAATTGATGTTGGTCAATTACTGGTATACCAAAAGCTTTCATTAGAAATGTGGAATAAAACAGTGTTAAGTTCTCCAACAACTAAACTCTATGAGGTGAAATGTTATTCCCAACATCTGTTTGTCCTTCTTCTTTTTCATATGCTTTGTCTTCATGCACTTCCCTCAGAGGCACAAGCTGTGGTGTATCTCTCTGCAAGAAAGACCAAAATTCTGGATTTCAAAACAGTAAGAAACAAAAAGCTAATGGACAATAATTTACTCTGACACACACACACACACACACACACACACACACACNCTCAACTTAAAGGTGGGGTAGGTAAGTTTGAGAAACCGGCTCGAGATACACTTTTTGTTGTATTCCATGGAATGCTCTTAACATCCCGATAGCAATGAATATCTTAAGTGCTTTGACAAAAAATCCATTCAAAAAATGTCACCTGTTGAAGCCGTAGTACTGTAAAAAGCACGACCAATCATCTGAGCAGGCCCGGCTAAAATAACTGGATGGCCTACCTGCCTGTCAGCATTCATTGCTATCGGGATGTTAAGAGCATTCCATGGAATACAACAAAAAGTGTATCTCGAGCCGGTTTCTCAAACTTACCTACCCCACCTTTAAGTTGAGCCCAAATGCCATATATTGTTGAAATTAGCAGACTGTAAATGTGGCCTGAATTCATATTTTTATAAATTTTTCTTGTATAACTGTATAACTGAACTACATCTATATCGAGTCGGTCCCCGTAAATCTGACCCACATGCATGTCAAATCCCAGACTTTAAACTGTGCTATTTAATATCTTTCAGTTTTCTTTGTAAACAACGTTGGTAAAATAAGGTTTTTTCATCTTTCTATTCCCTTCCTGATTGCTGTCTCCCTCCTGTTTTCAAAATATAATTTATTAAATTGGTGGTTGAGGAGAAAACCTTATGTTGCTGTTAAGCCCTCACCCTCTCTTCACTTAAGATTTCAGATCTTAAAGCGGCTCGGCAGTTGGCATCCGAAGTCACATCTAAAGGAGCATCTCTTTATGATTTACTGGGAAAAGAAGTGGACTTAAGGGTAAGAGATATTTAACATACACATATACTGGTTCATCTTAAATGCTCACAATCTGTGACAGTGAAAACAATGATGGGGCTTCTTTTTTTTTTACATTCGACTGAGATGCAGTTAGAAGTCCACATTTTAAATAGTGTTTTCAGCGCATTCCAACCAACAAAGTGATATATTTTTCTGAAAAGGCATTACAGATGTTAAAGATAATTATTTAATTCCTTTTGGTATTGATATAATTGTACCACAGTCTATTTAAAAGGACTACATTTTTTAAGGTGATGCAGGATATTACTATGCTGTCTTTGTTGTTAATGTTCCCACAGGAAATGAGAACTGCGGCTATCGCCAGACCTCTGGAAATCAATGAGACTGAAAAGGCCCTGAGAGCTGCCATCAAGGAAGTTTTGGTATGTCTTCATCCTGACAATCCTCATTTTAAAACTCACACAAGGACCTGTTTTTACCAAGGAAATGGCACTGAGTCGGCCACAATGCTCTTGTTTTCATTCATCAGGAAAGTGTGGAGAAGACCAAAGACATGCTGAGTAATGTTGTTTCTGATGAAACCAGTCTGGACGCTAAGATAGAAAAAAAGAACCAGGAGCTGGAGAGGAATCGGAAAAGGCTCCAGACACTGCAGAGTGTCAGGTAAGTTCAAAAGCCGACAGTTAGCAAACAGGCGTAATGACAGGAACGATTATAAGCAAAGTAAATAGAGTTAATGGGGGTGTAACCATAGACTGTGGGTGTAACCTTATTTTGAGTGCCATTATTTGCACTCTTTGCTCAACATTTTTGCCATTCAGGTTGTGCTATAGCTAAATTAAAATGGTATTGTTGTGTCTTTTAACAACACATTGATTGAAAAGGGACGGTGTCTATGCCTACACCGTTGTAATTGCTTGTTTTTAAAACATAAATATTTTTTTCAGGCCAGCCTTCATGGATGAATATGAAAAGATTGAGGAAGATCTGCAGAAGCAATATGAAACCTTTGTGGAGAAGTTCAGGAACCTTTGCTTCCTGGAGTCTCAGCTGGATGAATACCATAGGCTGGAGCAGGAGAGGTTCGAGGTGTGTGTGGATGATATGTTCAACAATGACTCTAAAACACTGGCCATCCTCCTTGTCTTTATTCCCCCTAGGAGTGACTCATTTAGCCCTTCTCTTAAACTATATTTGTTCTAACCTGTGGTGATGAGAAATAACACAAGACAATTTCACACTCACTTCTAGCTCGAATTCAGTGGATGGAGGAGAATAGAGACTTGCATTAAGACCAACCCTCTTTGTTTTGGCTTTAACATAAGTGTTTGTCCCATTTTGTTTCACTGCAGGAGGCCGAAAACACAATGAGGATGATGCAGAACGTGTTGAGGGAGGAGGAGGAGAGGGACCTGACGAAGAGCTCCTGTGAGATAATAACCTATCATGAAACCAAAACAATAGCCTCAAAATCTCCACCTCTTTTATGAACTCACACACTTGTTCCATGATATGTGTTTTCTGCAGTAAAAGATGAGGATTCTGACATGGACGTGCCAGAAGACGAAGGCTCGGACAGCGACATGGAAGAATGTCGACCTTCTAAGCCACGGCCGACACGAAACGGCATCACGACAGGTCAGCAGATAAAGGCCTTAGAAGAACTGGGCCTTTTGGTTATTATATGCATTATTTTCCTTTTCTATGATTCAGATTGATTTTATATCTCTATTAAAACTCATCATCAAACCTGTTGCCTATTTTTCCACCACAGGAAGAGCAGCGCGATTCGTCGGTAACATGCAGGGGGGTGATAGTGATGAGGTTAGTACTGTTGAAGCAACATCAATATGTATTCCTTTTTCTTCTTAAATGAATCCTGGTGTTGCAAGCATGTCTTAAATATCATTGAATAATTGTGTTTTTATTGTAATAGCAATGGCCCTGAATATCACCCAGTGCTGTCTCTTTTGTCATCTCTAACCAAATATCCTGTGCACCAGCTCTGATCAGTTTCACGTCCCTTTGTTTGGGTTTTCATTTTATATTCTGTTCAGTATCTTATTTTTCTCTGCCATTCGCTTTTATTTTTAAAAAGCCCTCCTTAGCTGTTTCCAGAAGGTCAATCCCTCGTGCCAAAAAACAACGGAGAGGAAAGGTTTGTGCAGGACGGGGATCTACTGTAGTTTACTCCTTGTTCCTCTGTTTGTTTAAAGGGAAAATCCATTCTCAAATGAACTGATGCATTGGGATTGTTTATACGATCAAATCCGTCCCATGGCTTAGTACTTTTTATATATATATTATATATATATATTTTCTTTTAATATTGGTGCAGATTATTTTAACATTATTGAAGTTTTGGAAATGGATTTTGACTTTAAATGAGGTTTAGCTGGTCCCCAATAGTTATCTGGCTCTAGGTGGACAATTCCCAATTCACTATTAAATCACTTATCAGTTCCTTGGTATGTTTTCACTACAGCGAAAGAGGTGAATCTGTGGTTAGATCTGCCTGATTGAACGATTTGTACGAGACATTAGCTGGTTCAGTGTGTAGTTAAATTAGAAATATGTACATCCCTTTATAGTTCCACATTATATATTGAATAACTATCCAGTAATCATTTTCTGGACTCTAAAAACTTTGATATTTTAGTAACTTGCCTGCCCTACTGTTTCAGACTGAAGACAGCGAGATTGATGTGGATGAGGATGATGAGGAAGATGATGAAGGCGAGGAAGAGGAGAGCAAGGATTTGGAGGACGACAGTCTCGAGGGCCCAGTGTCCAGGGGTGTGCGCCCCTCAAAGGGGGTGATAAGACCACCTCTGCTGGAGGAGAGCGATAATGATTTCTGAATAATTAAAGAAGAGATCCAGCTGTTTCTGCTTCTCCGCTCAGATAAACCATTTATTCGAGAGAGATGTGCATTATTTATTATGTTCAATCATGTTGTTTTTGCAACTATAGTTCATATTTTTGTAATATTTGTCTAAACTGTATTCCTTAATAAAAATATAAAAAAATTATTATCTCTCCTCTTTCACCTGACTTGATTATAAATGCAGAATAAAATACCTTTTGTTTAAGAATCAGTCATATATTGAAGATCATTATTTTGGTTTTGGGAAATGTTGGTTTAATCAGTTCCCATTGTATTCATTTGAGAGGAAAATATGTTTTACAATTATGCTGTAGGCTTTATTATTTTTGATTTGGCACCAATAATGCCTTTTTATATTTTATTTATGTAATTTAATATTCCAAATGGGAAGAAATTTACATTTCTGACATAGAGATCCACATTTTACACTTTATACCTAAGTAGTATTGATTGAAAAGCTATCCTAGAAGTAAAATTACAATGTATTACTCGTAAAATAGTACAGTAAACATGTATTTGTTCTCAAAACATTGTGGTTTCACCTCTTTATTGTGAATCATCAGCATCTTTGGTATTCTTATTATACATCGGTGTATGTAATGTAACCATAGAATTTAACCATAGGAGACACTACGTCATCAGGGTGCGCGCAGGTTTCAGAAAGGAGGTGGCAGATGCCTCTTCAAAACAACAGACAACTACCGTCTACTTACAACCTATTTTACATCTCATACTGGTATGAAAGCGTGATTATATATCAGTGTATTGTATTCATCATCATATCAACTTAAGCTTGGCTACATTTATTTAGTGAATGGCCGGCTCATTGACAAGCAAACAAGGCTTGTTTTGTAGGCTAACATCAGCTAGCTATCGCTAACTAGCGAAGGCTACACTAACAAAAACACTGCTGTCATTGTGTCATTTTAGAGAGTTTAAGTATGGCTTTGTTAACCTTCTCCAACTGTTCTGTATTGTGTTTGCGAACCCATGTTTTCAAACTGATGTGCAGATAGGGAAGTCATCTAACAGGACTAATGGTGGTCTTCCGTTAACTTCCGTTATTGCAACATAATTTGTTTTAATTTAATGTAGAATACGTTAGAATACTAACTTGCCCTACAATGTTACATATCTATTTTAGAAGAGCTTTTTCAGATTACACATAATATAAAATACTGCATGCTAAAACAGTCATTGTTGGGTTGTAATATATAGGGGATAACACCAAAAAGACAAGCAAAAATATATAATGTAAGATAAGATACTTTATTGGTCCCAATTTGGGAATTATTTTCGTTACAGAAGCATGTAAACAAGCCATTGCACACAATCTGTGAATGAAAAGGACTACAAAACACATAGACATAAAATAAAAACATCTTAAAGTAAACATAAAAACAGATCTTTAAAGTAAAATCTATACATAATGACAATCGAAGATATATATCTGAAGACTATCTGTCAAATATACACTATGAAGGGCCAATAGCAGCTAATGTAGAGTATGTTTTGAATCATTGTAGCTGAACCTGGCTATATGAGTACTGATCATCAGCTTTAAAATAACCTGTTAATCAAACTCTTCTGTTCTTTTCCTTGGCTGTCAGCTGAAGAGCAGCTGTTGGGATGCCAAAGAAGTTCCAGGGTGAGAACTCCAAGGCGGCCACAGCTAAAGCCCGCAAGGCTGAGGCCAAGGCAGTGGCAGACGCCGACAAGAAGAAGCAGGAAGAGGATGCTTTGTGGCAGGAGACAGACAAACTTGTTCTGAAAAAAGGGCAGAGAAAGGTGAACTATCTCATCTGTTTAATGTTCAGTAGTTATGACATTTTGTCACCATGATACTTCTTGGATGATGTGCATATAGTCCGTTTACTTTAAGCTGAAGTTGAAACATCGGATGGGAATATATCTTCGTTATCCTCAGTGGGACATTGTTTTGTTGCATTACTAAGCAGTTACAGATCACAAACCGTAACGAAGGAGCAATATTGTATATTTACCATAATCAGCATACAACAATTACAGCTTGTATATGTATATCTTGTGCAGCCAGACAGCCTCGTCAAAACATTATGCATATTTATGATTGTTTTAAGAAGGAGGGGAACCTTTTTTTGCAGTATGTACTGTACTGGACATACTGTAGCTATCACTGCCTTACTTAGACTTACTTCACTCTTACTTCATATGTACTTCACTACATATTTCCAATGAAATGCACCCTCATAGTATTAGGGTGATTGCGTTAGTTATTTTATTGAATGATAAATGTCATGGGGAATCAGTAAAGCTTGTTTAATAGTTAAGTGATCAAAATATATGTAGTGGGTAGGTAGTCTAAGGAGACAGCTTCCTGTCATTGCAGGATGACAAGGAGAAGAAGAGGCTCGAGCTCCTGGAGAGGAAAAAGGAAAACCAACGTCTTCTCGATGAGGAAACCTCCACCATAAAAGGCAAAGCCCTGAGGGAGGCAAGCGAAAGAGTAACTCGTGCCGAGATTGAGGAGGTGCTTCAGAACGAGCTACAGCAACTGAAGGAGCAAGAGCTCAAGCCAAAAGGTACGTTTCAGGGTTTAAACTGACCTCAGAAGTGTGCTGGTTTAGTATAAAGAGGAAACATGAGTTAAGACACAATCCAGCAGCATTGGATGTTATGAAGATCAAACCAGTACTTTCTCTTGATCATCAAATACCATTTCTTCCTACAGAAAAGAGCCACCTGGATACTCCACTGGAAGAGAATGTGAACAGGATTATCCCAGAGGAAGGAACCGTGGAAGCCCGATCAATAGAAGATGCCATCGCTGTGCTCAGGTACCATTTGTACTGTGTGGGACATCATTTTGTTACTAACGCAGCATCCACACGGCGGCGTGCGTTGAAGCTTGCCGGTGGGCGTGTCTGAAACCCGACCAACAACCAATCACATGAATCTCCCGCACCGGACACAAAAGCACACGGTTTGATTGGCTAGAGCTTGTACTGGCATATGATTTGATTGGCTGACGCTTCCGTCGAAGCTTCAAAAGTTGAACTTTTCTAAACTTTTGAAGCGAGCAACACGATCAACGCGAGCAAAGCGATGCGACGGAACCACAATGCAGTTTGGCAAAGCGTGAGGTCACCCCATTCAAGTGAATGGGAAGAAGCGTTGACAATGAAGGCTCTATAATCAGATCACGGCATATGGGTGTAACGCAGGGGTAAAATGCAATTTTTTTCAAGTGGGGGGTGGTCTTAACTTCCTCTAGGGGGGTCCGGGGCGACGCTTCCCTGGGAAGAT